CAAAGAAAGAAGGCGTAACTTTTATTCTCACTGTAGTATTGTTGCCGCCGCCATATCCTGAAGACGCTGTGTGCTTCGTTGTGAAAGTGAAACTACTTTGTTTGGTCTTCCAAAAGAGGAGGATATCTGCTTCGTCATGCCTAGAGCTGATCCGTGCTGGTCGCTGAGGGAATACAACAGTATGGTGAGGGGCGTAACATTTCCTTCTCACGCTTGAGGTATTCGGCCAATCACAATGCACTGGATAGCTGGCCAATCACAGCACACCTCGCTTTTTCAGACCGATGAGCTTTGTAAAAATCGACGCGTTTCAGAAAGGCGGGGCATAGAGGAGAAACAATAATGTACAGTATGTGGAAAATAATGTGTTTTTTTAACTTTAAACCGCATAAACACATTTCATTACACCAAATACACAAAATAATGTTCTTTTTAGCAGCATCATATGACCCCTTTAATTAACTGCACTTTAATGCAGTAATTCTTTTGAAAGAATTAAAACTAACCATTTTCTATTTCAGTATATTTTAAAATGCAATTTATTTTATTTTGCACCCCTATTTTTGCATTAAAAATTAACTTTAGGACCTTTAAGATTTTTTGCATTGTACCATAATAATTAATCCCACCTCCCAGTTCTCATTATGCAATACATTTTACTTCTAAGCTTATTAGCAATTTACGATATTCTCAATATTGTAGATGTTCATTACTACAATAATACAGTAATTCTGTTCTAATAATATGTAATTATTTTTAATTGGTTTTTATTCAAAACCGTTGGTGCAGTAATGAGAAAAGAGGAAAATGTGCTTAATTAAGGGCAAAAAAACAGTGCAAAAAAGTTTTTTTTAAGCTCCTAAAACAGCCTACATTTTCTTAAAGCAAAATATAATTTATTGTTTCTTTCATTTGATTTTGGGGTGAAATGTGGCCAGGATGTGTTCTTGATAGGTTTTATAAGATTTGCCCTCAAATGATCAAAGACGGTCAGATATGCATTTATGCACTGACCAAATAATCACTCATTTAAGACACTTGTATAATTCAATTAAACTTTGTGCAAATGCAACACAATTGTCTTTAAGCCACTTCTCATTAGCAGCAATCTGCTGGTCCAAGTTAATATGCGCATAAATCAAGTGCACTGAAATTAGATTGAGTCTGTCAGATATGTGAAAGGGCCACACACTTCTGATGTCTGACTGACCCCTCCCATTGATGCCTGACACTAACCAATCAGTAACCAATGTTGTTTGATTGCAGAGGGAACATCCCCACTCTAAACAGGTATAGTACACATTCTTTCTTCCTTAAAACAAAATCTAGACTTAGAATAGAAAAGCAACATGGTCAAACATATACATTTTAAATAGTAGTCAGTATAATATGCAGTAATACTATATGGATATTCAGAGTATTCAAGCATAACCAATGTATAAAAGATGTATTTGAATTCATATTTTAAGACATAAACAACCTTGGATGAAATGCATTAGCGCCCTACTGAATGGATCTAATGATGATCAAAGCTTTTGAGTGCCTCTAAATATTTTGAATCAATCGAATGCAGATATTATGCGTGTAAGTTTGTGTTTTATTGAAAACAGCTCTTTCTTTGCACTTTATTCTGTTGATCTTAGTAAATACAAACTAATTTGCATGGCTTATTGCACCACTCTCAACACAAGTGTGTGTGGGTCTGTCTGAAATGATATCATTGTGTGTGCGCATGCAAATGAAGACACTCCCGTAATATGTTAAGTGAAGTGAAATTGTTTAGACCTCATACTGGTTTTGAATTAGCTACATAATAGTGGCAATTAAATCTGCTGTTTGTATGTTTGTGTGATGTGATTGTCCTCCCAGGAAACTGTCTGCCCCACTTCAGGACTACAAACTTCCAGATATCACAGCTAATGCTAGTGCTGCCACAGGGGCAGCTAGTGAGTCTGCTGAGAATGAGGACAGGTAGAGCAGGACAGACTACAGGGTTTAATCACAGAGAGGGTTTAATCAGTCAAGAATAATCTATGCACAGTTTTCTTAATGATAACTGGGTATTAGGGATGTTCATTTCGGTTATTTTTCCTAACCAACAACCGACGCTCGTTAACCGACAAGATTATTTTAAATTAGAATTGAATTAAATTAGAAAGGATAAGTGTCTGTGATCCATTAAAAATAACATTTGTTTCCCGGGGATTAATTTTACATGCGCAAAAAGCAGCAAACAACAGAACATGAGGATTCACATGGTCTTCGTATCACATCTGCCAGCGGAGAAAAACATAATAAAGCTAGATATAGGCTATATATAAATAATAATATACTACTATAATAATAAAATAATAGTAATAATAATAAATAGGCCTATACGAGAAATATATTTATACTTGAATAATAAATTAAGAAAATGAAAGAAAAACTGTGCAACAAGTAGCCTAGTATGCAGAGTTTCGGTTCATTTACGTGCTGCACGAAAGGAAACAGACAGAAAGCGGTGTCCTATTTTTCTTTAGGCTTATTTTACAAAAGCACAAAGATTTGTTTTTATTGTGAATGTACACTAATAAAGGCAAACCTTTTACAATTCTGATTATCTTTATGACTAAAAGGAGTAGTTGCTTCCACTGTTAGAAGGAAAAAAATTCAAGTGATTGCGCCGGCGCCGCATGCGTGCACAGTTAAGCATTGCTACCTTGACAATGCAGCCTGTTTATTATCATAATAAAATACAGTCAGTCAAACATATGGAAAAAAAAATATGTAGTAAAAAAAATATGTAGTAAAATCTGTTAAGCAGTTAAGGTTAAGTGTTATCACTGTACTGCCGTGATGTTATACAAAACATTTTGTTTTACGTGGATATTGGAACGCGAGTGAAGTACATAATAAATAATAATTTGCCATTCAAATACATTGCGAATACGGAAACATTTGATTTTGTGTGGAATGAGAGACCCAACGTTGGTTTCAGTTTCATTTTAACCTAAATGAATACGTTTTGGCTTGTCATTTATATTGCTATAGGTTCTTATATTTTTTTCTAAATACTGTTAATTTAAATGATTTGTTGTGGAGTGAGGGGAACTAAAATAGCCTAGCTATGTTTACAGTGTTTTTTATAATGTTTGTAAACATTTCACGGCGGCATTAGGCCTATTTCTGAATGAAATAATAAAATGCGACTTATACGCGACTTAGCCTATGTTTTTTTCCCCTAAGAAACAATTTTTTTTACGCGTAGCGTATTTTAACCATACAGCAAACCGTTTTAAATATTTTGATAAATTACTGAAAAAAGAAATAATTAAATTACTTTTTAAACCGTTTAACTGATTGTATTAATCGGTCAAAATTCTTACCGTCGGTTAACCAGTTAAACGGTTAAAATGAACATCCCTACTGGGTATGAATCTTTTAATTAGTCTTAATGGGCAAGAGATTGCTGTCAAATACTAACATTGAACAGGATACTTGGCACCTTCTGAAATTTTGACCATTTCTGATAGATGTGCTGATTAAGCTTTATAATTAAAGGTGTTATTAAAGGAATAGTCTGGGTTAAATATAACTTAAAATCAATAGCCCTTACATGGACTCCACTGGAAATAATTTTGACTTCCAGTCCCTCAGTTTGTAAAATCAGGAAAAATGCATTAATAATAATGCACTTGCAATAAAGTGTACCAGAAATAAAGTCAAACCCTGGGTCGCCAGGATGATTTAAGGAAAACGTGTAGGCTATATGTACATAACAAAGTTCAAGACTCAGGGAAGAAGGAAGCGGGAACTGGCAAAGCGATGGAGGCTATTTACTCTTAGTGCAAATAGCATATTTTCTTAGCGATAGATGCCATTTACACTAAGTGAAAATAGCTGTATTTTTTTAGTGATATCATATGCTATTTACACTAAGTGTAAATAGCTATACATTATATTTATACTATGTTAAAATAGCAGGATATTCTGCTAATTACTTATTGCAAATAGTGGCAATTATCTGCACCTCAGCATTGTAATACATTATAAAACAGTATGCAATAATAACTTGAGTGTAAATTTTAATTATAATTCAAATTATTAAATGGATACCACCTTACTGGGACAAAAGCCCTCCCTACACCTACCCTAACCCTACCCGATACTTTATTTTCAACTTTTTGATTATTTCCTTCATTTTTATACAAAATAAATGCTTTCTGATGTGATTTGAAATTTGAAAAGGGAGAATAAAAATTCGCCAAAAGACAGATTCGAACCCGGGTAGATCGCGTCAAAAGGAGTAGCCTATGACACACGCTTTACCATCTACGCCACTGAATCTGACGATTGATGACCGTCTTTTGTAATGTTGACTAGCCCAATCACACGTTGGTGGGTGGAGTTAGTGTAAATAGCCTCTGCCAACAAGGCGGTCTATTTGCACTTAGTGTAAATAGACACTCCGATTTTTTTTATTCTTTTTTTTTATTCCCAACAGTTAAACAGTTGCCCACAGAAAAAAACAGGGGGTGCTGCCGCACCCTCAGCACCCCCACTTCCCGCGCCTATGAGTGTAGTTTTAGTTCTGGCAGGCCACGTTTACCACGTCTACCTATAGGAATACAAAGCCTATCACAGCATCCATATATAAGGTCCTTTAGTATTATTAGCAGCTATCGCATTGCTCAATAACTAATTAGCCTTCTCCATCCCCAGCTCCTCCTCTCGTCCAGTCAGGATTCAGGCTTCTGATTCCCTTTTAAATCAGACTAATTCAAAAGTGTGTACATTAAATTATTGAACATTAATGATATCTTCAATACATTTATGTTGGTTCTGTTCTGTTTACCCCAGGGGGCGGGGAATGGGGGGTTATCACTGCTCTCCCTGCTCTCATCCATGCTAGGCTGCATGGATGCACAGGGAGTTCTTGCCCAGAACAGAACCATACTGCCAATCCAAACTGTATGCTAATTGTCAATCATCTTTGATGATAGTGGTCTTGACAGAAATATTATTTCCTATGACTTATTAATTTGCAGCCACAACTTATTATTTTGTTCCCTCATCTTAGGTAAATCATGTTGTTCTAGTTTATTCCCTTTTAATTTAGTTCAATTGTGTGCATGGCTCCATAGTTTAAAAAGTAGTCCTGTCAATGAAATAAAATCATCAGTTAATTTCACTATTTCTGATTTTAGAAAGCAGAATGAAATTGTAATCAAATGTTACATCTAAAACTTAGGTTTTGTTAAACATTTTTCATTAATATCTTAACTTTGAGAAGACTACATTTTTTCACAGACCCGTTTAAGAACCAACATGCCCAATAGACTTCCAATGTAAATGTGTCATGATGAACCCATTTCTTTTGTTTCTACAAATCGAGGGTTGACCCAAAATTAGGGTAATGATATGGTAAACAGCAGGCCGCAGCTAGATTATGTTTAACCTGGAATATTCTCAACTAAACTGTACCTCCACCATGAATTTAAATAAATGAATGTAAATGCATGAATTCACCCATACAGTGAAGTTTCAGTCTTAACTATTTTTTCCTTTAATATCTGGTTTACTTGCCTCCTGACAACTGGCCCCTTTTATAACATTCAGATGTTACACGTCAGTGTGTATTCACATTCAGTTGTGAGAAGGCGATGCTGCTTCTATTCACTCCTCTGATCCAGACCGATGTGTAATGGTGATGATTTGATCTTTCTCTTGGGGTGGTCTACCACATTTTTGAGAGGTTAGGTATATGCGGCTGCACTAATAACATGTCCTTTTATTTGTGCGGTTGTGTTGTTCTCTCAGAATGTCCTTCTCCTCTAACTTGAATCACTACGGCATGGTCCATGTGGCCAGCGTTAGTGATGTGCTCCTGGACACCTCCTTCACCCCGCCCTGTCAGCGTATGGGCGCCATGGTTTCCTTCCGCTCCTTCCAGGAGTTCACCAGGTTAGTGTATGTCTACAGTAATTGGAAAGGTGTTCATGAAATCTAAATTATTCCTATTTATTTGCTTATTCAATGCTCTTGATCGTACTCTGCACAATCTGCACGTAAGGTTTAATCCACAAATAACGCTCCGGTGGACATACTGAGATTACATGACCAGCCAAATACTACTTACTTTATTTTTGTTACCTCCTATTGTTATTACCTACCTCCTAGTTGCGGGATGTTTCATTCACACCAGTAGGTGTCAATATAAAGTCTAACACCGCTGTCATATTGCGACACACAAAAACTTCAATAAAAATGTTTTTAATAATCTTCTATAAAATAATAACATTTACCAATAGCTATGTAACTATGTTGGAGTGTCAATAAAATCATTGGCACTATTTACGATATTATATATTTTGTAGTATTACTATATCAGTAATTCATTTTCTAAATATCAGTTTCCGTTAATACCGAAACCTTTATTGCAGACCTATCAAATTCCATCTAGATCCCCAACACGCTGATTGTTGTGTCAGTCAGAAATACATTTAAACCTGTAATGTGCCGTATTGAGAATGGCATTTCATGTTGTCTATTATAGCAGTTTTCTTAAAATTTACATACATTTGCTGTCTGCGTGTCTAATGTGACTGTTATCACAGGAACATTAAAGATGTGTTGAGCTGTTTCTCAGACTCACCCCCCTCTACTCCAACCTTTCCTGAGGGGGGCAACCCTGTGCTGTATGGAGAGGAGGACAACAAGGTGAACATTTTATTCTTTGAACCTGTCAAAAAAGGGAAAATAAGATCAGACATTGAAGGGCACCTGTTATGCACAATTCACTTTTACATGCTGTTTAAATATAAATGTGTATTGGCAGTATGTGTACACAAACACCCTATAATGAAAAAACTTCACCCACTCCTTTTTTTTAATCCCCATAAATCATAAGCAGTGTCTCAGAACAAGCCGTTCGCAGAATCTGTAAAATGTGATGTCACATTTTACGAGCCCCGTCCATGACTGTTGACGGGCACTGCCATATTAGCAGAGACCCCGCCCAGAGTGAGCCACACGCAGTCCGCCATGTTTATCACAGACATAACCGTGTTTTTGTAATTTTTGCTTTTAACATAAACTTGTGTGTATTTGACAGTTTAAACGCAATAAGACATGAAAGAGAACTTAGTTTAGTACTCGCATGTCATGTGACAGCGCTTTCTGTGGGTGTGCTTCGGATGTGCGCTCAGAAAACTGTACATCAGATCCGAGGTATGAGCTGTAAAGGCACAGCCCTGTTCTGGAAAAGGGGGCGGGGAGCAGCAGCTCATTTGCATTTAAAGAGACATGCTCGAAAACAGCGTGTTTCTGCTTTCATTCAAAATAGACATTTTCAAAATGATATAATAAAATATCTGTGAGGTATTTTGAGCTGAAACTTCACAGACACATTCTGGGGACACCTGAGACTTATACTACATCTTGTAAAAAGGGGCATAATAGGTGGCCTGTAATGTTTGATGCAATGAAGCTATTGGAAAATTTTTGTTTTCTATGCATAGTTTATATTGTGTTTTTTTTTTTGTCTTACTGCAGAGCATTCAAGATGAGCCAATTCATATCCTTAATGTGGCCATAAAGACAGACAGTGACGTTGATGATGATGGGCTAGCAGCCATGTTCCACGAGTTTACTCACTCTAAGGTGAAACAGAGTTCTGTTCTCTATATGATGATTGTTTTTAACAAAAATGTTTAAATGTCAGTGTATTAATTTTTTACTTGCATCATTTTTACCACAGAAATCTCTGCTATTTGAGCACGGCATCCGAAGACTTACCTTTTTGGTTGCTCAGAAGGTATGCTTTCAAAATTACATTTGAGCATGTTTCCACTCTTTCACTCCTTCTCAATCGAATTTCAGCAGAATAATCTTTAATCAATTGAATGTTAATTTGAATAACTGCAATTCTTAGTAACTGATCTCAAATCTGATATGCCCACTGCATGTGTCTTTTCCTCTTTTGCTCTTGACGCCGTTATTAACAGGATTTCAGGAAGCAAGTCAACTGTGAGGTGGACCAGAGGTTCCATGTAAGTAGTTGTGAAGTGTCTGAGGCATTGGCTCCGTTTCACAACCTATCGAGGTGCCTCGCTGTCTGTAGGCAGCTACTTTCTTAGGAAGCATCTTAACCAAAATTGACCTCACAAGTGACTGAACTGAAACGCTCTACATAGACTATCATGCAGGTCACTCCAGTAACACTACTTGTCTGAAATGCATGAGAAACTTAGCTTTAGCTCACTGTTGGTTCTGGTAACATTATGTGTTGCTAAGCTAATGACACAATATTCCTATACTAAATGTATAATACATGGTGCACACAGTTAAATTTTAATTAGACTATTTTAATTTAGTAGTTCTAAGTATTGAATGAAATGGACTGTATTTTTTGATTGACATTTCTTAGTTATCGTGTTCACCGTCTTGGATGTTAGCATGTTGCGTAACCTAATGACAGTACTCTTATGTAAGAAAATTGAGGCAGTCATTTGATTTAAAAGCTGCAATCAAATTTATTGCATGATGCGCTGATTAATCAATCAAATTAATCGCCAATAATTTCACACTGTATATCAATGTCCCTAAAAGTCCCCAAATAGAAATATTGGATCTGTACAAATTATCTTTGAAATGAAATAATTGAATCCAAATTGGGGAAAAAAGTGGCTATGTAAGTCAGTATTATTTGTTTTATATCATTAAATATAAGGGGTTTTTTTTATTATTAAATTGTATAAATGTAATATTATTGGAAATATTGAGTTTTTATTATTATTATTAACATTTTGACTCCTAGGTTTTGGAACAGAGCCATTATAAATGGTCTCTTAATTAAGTTACAGACGTAATTATAAGACTGTTCAGTCTTTCAAATGTACAAAACCTGTTCTGTAAATGTCCTGTAATAATGAATACGATATACTGTGCCATTAATATTGGTCTGGTCTTCCTGATCGGTGTTGACATGTACAGAATGCAATGCTATTTCACGGTTAATGTTTAATGTCTTTGTTTCACAGAGAGAATTCCCCAAATTTTTCACTTTCCGAGCTCGAGGCAAGGTGAGTTATGTTTTACACAAGACTACCAGTGACAGGCACAAAAGACTGTAACACTTTTAAATGCAATTGTTCATTAAATTCATCAGCAGCTTTATGTTTAGGGGGGGAAATACAAAGGGGAAATGAGGAGGAGGAAAAAAAAGCTGTTATGTTCCTCCATTTCTTGTCTTTGCTGTGCAAGTCACTCCATCATGATCAATGGCATTTCTCTGGCTTCCTTCAGCCCTGATAGTTTGCTAAAATGGTTCCAGCAAAGCTCATTACATTAATGAACTTTTTAATTATTTGTCTCATTTGAGAGGGATGACATCCATTAGCAGCTGTGATTACCTACATTTACTAAATCTAGCCTGCTATTATAGCTCACAGGCACTTTCTGCTTCTGTAGACTCACTTTCTCTAAATTTAAAATGAGCAATTTCATTCCATTTAAATTTTCTATTTTATTAAATCTTATTATTATAGTTATTAGTAAAATTTAGCCATTTCATGATCAAACTTTTTAGGGTTGCTCGATTATGGCAAAAATCTTAATCAATTATTAAATCAATTATTTTTGGTCAATATTGTAAACATGATTAGGACTAGACAGTATTAACACAAGAGTCATTTTCTTTTCCACATTAGCGATATCAGTTATATTTCTGTTGGATATAAGGTTACTATAAAATCAAAATTTTAGATACCAGTGACATTCACAATTTTCGATAACAATTTCAATACCACAGCAGAAACTAATACTTAGCTGTCTAATGTAAGTGGGGGGAAAATACCTTGTTTAGTTCATCGTTCTAATTTTGCATTTCTGCTATACAAGCAGCTACAAATGGTATTGTGAAAGATAATGGATCTCATTCACTAATAATTTTTGTGGATTATTCATATTTATATCAACAGGAGAATTTCTTACAAAAATATTTGTATGATATTAAAATTTTCCTAACTTGTACCTTTCCTCTGCCTTTTTATGAAAGTAGAAAATTTTATACAAAATGTATTGATGAATTGTGATATGAAAATCATTTGTACACAGATTTCGCACACAAATTTGTCTTGGTTAGTGAAAATAAATAATATAATATAATATAATATAATTAGGGCTGTCAGTTTAACGCATTAACTTAATTAATTAGTTATGAAAGAATAACGTGATTAAAATATTTTAACACCTTAATGTTAATGCACTGGCCCTTTAAATTTTGCTTGAAATTTTATGTTGAATCAAATCAAATATTTCTTTCTATAGCTACTATGTGTAATGTCTACTTGATACTTTCTCATTTAACACAAAAATAGCTTTAATCTTTTGTGGGTATTTTCACAGTTTAATTTATTTTGCGATTAATTCGGTAAATTATTCGGCACATCATTTAATTAATTTGATTCAAAATTGTAATCGACTGGCAGACCTAAATTAAATATAATATAAATATTTTTTAGAACTTTTTTTAGAACCACTTTCGACCAAGTTCATTTTCATAATCGTTTAATTTTGTCTGACAAAGAAGTTTTTGTCAATTTTGTCAATCCTTTTTTTCTAGTTTGAGGAGGACCGTATCTACAGGCACTTGGAACCTGCCTTGGCTTTCCAGCTGGAGCTCAACCGCATGCGTAACTTTGCACTGACGGCCATCCCCTGTGCCAACCATAAGATGCACCTGTACTTGGGAGCTGCCCGCGTGGAAGTGGGCACTGAGGTCACAGATTACCGCTTCTTTGTGCGGGCCATCATCCGCCACTCGGACTTGGTCACCAAGGTAGGAGCATCTCTGTGGTCTATGTTTGCATCCATAAACTTGGTTATATGTGTGACACTGTATGGTTCCCCACCGTGTAGGAAGCGTCGTTTGAGTACCTGCACAATGAGGCAGAACGCTTGCTGCTGGAGGCCATGGATGAGCTGGAAGTGGCCTTCAACCACACCACAGTGCGCACCGACTGCAATCACATCTTCCTCAATTTTGTCCCAACCGTCATCATGGACCCTTCTAAGGTTTTAATGAGTTTCAGTGGATTTTTGTTTCAGGAAGGTACTTATCTGCATGCGTTTTGAGCTCTTGTGTTCTCATTAGATTGAGGAATCTGTGCGCTCCATGGTCATGCGCTACGGGAGTCGTCTCTGGAAGCTCCGTGTGCTCCAAGCCGAGCTGAAGATTAACATCCGACTGACACCCACTGGCAAACAGATCCCCATCCGCCTCTTCCTGACCAATGAGAGTGGCTACTACCTGGACATCAGCCTGTACAAGGAGGTTACAGACTCCCGTACAGGACAGGTGGGGAACAAAGACAGACAGGTGGGGCTCACGTGTCTCTCATTAACACAAACACATATTTTATGCAGACAGCTAAAACTGAACAACAGTACTATGCCTTTGTCATCCCTCATTGTTTGTTAATAATATATGTTAATTTTCTGTCAGTAGCAAACACACAATCAGTGAAAAGTTTGGACACACATTCTTTACATTTGTTTAATATAACTACATTTTTTTGAAAATTAGTGAAGTCAAAGCTAGGAAATAATACAAATGGCTGTTATGCAAATTAAGCAGTGACTAAAAAAATCGTATACTTTTTCTTATATTTTATCTTTTTCAAATTCGACACCCTTTCATGCATATATTTGTCTAATATATAAAATGTGTGAAAATATGTATGTAATATGTAAAATATATAAATATGTCAAAAATATACACAGTATGTCTGCTTTCAGTCATTTAATAGATCAAAAATATTTAAAATACATTTCTGTTCAAAAATGTTTTTGTTTGTTTTTGAAAAGCATTTATTTAATCAAAAATATATTAAAACAGTAATATTGTGAAACATTTTTACAAATTAAAATTAATTATTAAATTAATTGCAGTTTTAAAATTAATTTGTGCTCAAGAACCATCAATGTTGAAAACAATTCTGCGGTATTTTTAGGAAAACTGCAATCCATTGTTTTTCAGATTTCTTTGATGTATAGAAAGTTAAGAAGGACAGTATTAACTTTTAATCAGTTAATTTCTTTAAAAAAACCTACTAACCCCAATATTTTGAATGGTATTGTATATATTTATGCTATTACTAATAATTATTAATAAGCGGCATTATTTTGGTATTTATGTTATTTATATGTATCATGATAAAAATGAATATAGTCACATGTGTCCAAACATATAAATGGCACTGCACAATTTGTTGTTTCACTAATATTCTTTCAGACATTGGCGTTGGGTGATTTGTCATTGTGCTAGTCACCATTTAGTTTCATTTGTCAGCGATGTGGTGACTTTTTCTGTTTGAATGTAAAAAGTGCTGTTCATGGAGTTGAATTAATAATTAAAAAAAAAAAATTGCAAAATTATCTTTTGTCATTGTAACATCAACTGTCAGTTTTGTTTCTTTGTATCATTGGCCAACTGTTATCTGTTTGCCTAGAAATGGGGAAAATTATCGATTTATATATAGTTGTTTGTGTTTCTTTACCTATGCTTGACTTGCTGACTCTCTTTTGCCCTCTGTCTCTCTTTCATATCAGATCATGTTCCAGGCATATGGAGATAAGCAGGGTCCTCTTCATGGCATGCTCATCAACACACCCTATGTCACTAAAGACCTCCTGCAGTCCAAACGCTTCCAGGCCCAGAGCCTCGGTACCACCTATGTCTACGACTTCCCAGAGATGTTCCGTCAGGTATTGTCCTCAACCTGACACAGTAGTCTATGATGGCAAATCTTTTCACATTTCAAGATATAATTGCATTTCAATGTATATTAACATTTAAATGTTGAAGGTCAGTATGATTTTTTTTTTTAAGAAATTAATACTTTTATTCAGCAAGGTTGCATTAAATTGATCAAAAGTGACAAGACATTTTTAATGTAAAGGCATTTATGTTCTATGTTCTTGAACGTTCTATTCATCCATTCATATTCATCATGGTTTTCCAGAAAAATATTAAAAAACACAACTGTTTTCAAAATTGATAATGATTAAAAATGTTACTTGAATGATTATCATTTCATCATCATAGAATGATTTGTGAAGGATCATGTGACACTGAAGACAGGAGTAACAGCTGGTCAAAATGTCACAGGAAAAACTACATTTTAAAATCTTGTAAAATGGGGAAACTATTCTTAAAGTTGTAATGATATTTCATAAAATTACTGTATTTTTGATCAATTAAATGCAGTGATGGTGAGCATAAGAGACTTTTCGAAAAACGTAAAAATCGTACTGACCCCAAACTTTTGAATAGTAGTGTATATTTTAATACACAAAGTTGATTATCAAGTCTTTGTTTATCCATTTTTTAAACAAGAGCACTGCAAATATATGAAGATAAACATTTATCATGTGGTGTCCATTTTCCTCTAGGCTCTGAAGAAGCTATGGCAGTCCATGGACGCACACGCCAACTTACCCAAGTGTCCTCTTCCATCGGAATTGCTGACCTTCACAGAGCTGGTTCTGGATTCTCAGGGTCAGCTGGTGCAGATGAACCGCCTACCTGGAGGAAATGAGGTTAGATTGCACCGTTAATGATATTGGCTAAAACGTATGTTTTGTAAAAATTTATCATCTTAAACTGAACTGAACTGAATCAACAATGAACTGATTTCAACTGAAAAATGACTATTGCCTTTTTAGAGTTGCTTTACAGAGAATTCAATTCTGTTTGCATCATTGAATCATTATTTTATTGTTGAGCACTGTAAAGCTGCTTTGAAACAATCTGTATTGTATAAAGCGCTATAGTAATAAAGGTGACGACTTAAACAGGAAGACTGTGTAACTCAAACTTAATGTGTGGCATTTCTTGCTCATTTTCAACAAATGATCACATGCAGTAAACTTTGTACACTGTAGGGGGCCCCTTTGCTTCTTAAATGTTGGTTTGTGAGGATCCACAAGCATTTATTTAGTTATCACAGCTTTATTGTGGATAGAAAATTAACTCATGATTCCATGATTCTCTAGATTGGCATGGTAGCATGGCGGATGACTCTCCGAACCCCTGAGTACCCGGCTGGCCGTGAGATTATTGTGATCAGCAATGACATCACACATAAGATTGGCTCCTTTGGGCCGCAGGAGGATGTGCTGTTCCAGCAGGCTTCAGAGATGGCGCGGGAAAGCGGCATCCCACGAATCTATATCGCTGCCAACAGCGGAGCCCGGATTGGCCTGGCAGAGGAGATCAGACACATGTTCCATGTGGCCTGGCAGGATCCAGCAGACCCCTACAAGGTTTGGAGTGGCTCCAGGGGAAGGGATCAGCGATCATTGATGTAGTGTTTATCTTCAGGAATTGTGTGGTAATCACAGTGTTTTCCTGTTAAATGGTAGGGCTTTAAGTACCTGTACCTCACACCTCAGGACTATAAGAAGGTGTCTGCTCTGAACTCAGTCCACTGTGAACATGTGGAAGACGAGGGTGAATCCAGGTGAGCTGCATATTATCCCATACACAGATTTTTTTATTGTTAATGCTTTTATGTCTAACATAAGAATTGTCTTCGCTGCATAATTTCAGTGAATAGTTGGACTGGGAGGAGGTTTTGAGTTCTGAAGGTTCACATTGTACATCAAACTTTTATTTCAAAAGATTGCCAGGATTTTTTTTCTGTCATTGATTAGGGTCATTTTTTGTTGTTCTATTGTAATGTAAATTCTCCTCTAATGTGTGTCTTTGCAGGTATAAGATCACTGATATCATTGGTAAAGAGGAGGGGTTGGGTGTGGAGAACTTGAGAGGTTCTGGCATGATCGCGGGTGAATCTTCACTGGCGTATGAGGATATCATCACCATGAACCTGGTACGCTAGCAGAACACAAACACACACTTGTTAAAAACTGTGACTTGTTAAAAACATTTGGAGAAGTTCCACTATTCACAAAAGCTCATAAGCAATACATTTGGTAAAGCATTACCTAGGATAAGATTAAGGTCTGCAAGATTTTTTTTTTTTTTTTTTTTTTTAAGAAATTGATATTTTTTTCCTGCAAGGTAGCATTAAATTGATCAAAAGTGACAGTAAGGCATTTACAATGTTACAAAATATTTTTATTTTAAATAAATGCTGTTAATTGATCAAAGAATCCTAAAAAAAAATGGACCAGAAGGTATCAACTGTTTTCAACATTCTTAATATTAAGAAATGTTTCTTGAGCACCAAAATCAGCATATCTGAATGATTTCTAAAGCATCATGTGACAGTAATGGCTGCTGAAAATTCAGCTTTGGCATCACAGAAATAAATTACATTTTAAAATATTAAAAATGTATTAGTTGTTTTAAATTGTAATAATATTTCACAATATTACTGTTTTTACTGTATTTTTGACCAAATAAATGCAGCCACGGTGAGCATAATAGACTTCTTTAAAACAATAAATAAATAAATATAATCTTACCCAAACTTTTGTGCAGTAGTGTAGATGTTATAGTGTTTCTGAATGTCTGTGTTTTCTGGTCCTCAGGTAACATGCAGAGCCATTGGAATCGGAGCATATCTAGTGAGACTGGGCCAAAGGACCATACAGGTGGAGAACTCTCACATCATCCTGACTGGAGCTGGAGCTCTCAATAAGGTCAGCAGCTGCACCCATTTACATGTTTTCTAGTTTTAGAATCCATAAGCCAACTGTGCCTTCTCAAAGCAGTTTTATAATTCGCCTAGTATGATTTGTGTGTTTTCAAAGGTCTTCTCTGTTGTTTAGTTGCTGCTATGAAAGGTGGCATGTGTGCATAAATTACCTATTCACTGCTGATAAGGGCATTTTAATTGGCCTCTCTTTTAATTGCTTGAAGTAATTTGATTGGTCCGAAGCAGAAATTGTGACAGGTTAGTGTGAACTCCAAAAGCCTTGTGTGCACTCAACTATGACCCAAACAAATGAATCCCTAATTCATGCAATTACCACGACTGCATTACAGTATGACTTTTATGAATCAGACAGTTTTTTATTTTACTGGTGACAGCGGTTGGCTGTGCATTCAAGCATGTGTTAAAGGAACAGCTCACCCAAAAATGTTAATTCTTTCATCATTTATTCACCCCTCATATCATTCCAAACCCATATGACTTTATTTCATAAAAAAACAAAAGGACAAAATTTGGTAGCACTTTTTACAGTCCTGTTCCACGTGTCCATACTATGTACTTATAAAGTAGAAATTACAATAACTGAGTAATAACTACATACTATGCATGAACCTACCCCTAAACCTAAACTTAAACCATGTAGTTACCTTATACTACCCGGTACTTTCTTGGGTAATTACACTATAAGTACACATGCTGTAAAATAAAGTATAACTAAAAATTTGTATGTACAAAGTTTTTCCAGGCAATTACGATGTAATTTTTTAAGCAGTTGGGATCTTGTGATTTTCAAGCTTAAAAAAGGAAGCAAAGGCACCACATGTGCTTTATTGGGAACAGAAATTAAATAAAAAATTATTTGCTACAAACTGAGGGACAGTATTAAAACTGATATCTCAGTATAAAGACAATAGAAGTCAATGGAAAATCATCTGCCAAAATAGAAAAAAAAAAAGTGTTTCTGTAGGTTTATAATTCCCCTCAGTGACTGCCATCCCCCCGCGTCTCTCTCTCTGTCTCCCATCATGATGCTGCAGCTCCCGCAGGAATAATAGAAAGAGAAGCGTGAAGTTGTTATTTGCATAGAAATAGGCTGATGCCTGGGGCTGAGACCGGGGAGGGACACCCATAACATTCCTCTGAGAACAGAATGAGCACTTCTACTGCTACATATATCCCCGTCTCGCTCTGCCTTTCTCCCATCCTCTCTCTGCAGCAGTCTAGATTAGGGTTGGGAACCGAGAAACAGTTCTTATTCAGAACAATTTCCTTTAATGGTTCTTAAATGTCCGGTGTGGACAGAAAAACGGTATTCAGATATTTCAGTCATGGTCATGTGTCACGGCCAGTATCTGTTTGTCCTCTCTGGAACTGCAGGAACGCCCCATCTATCTCCATCTGAAAATGTTCTTTACAGTCCCATTACTGTGTTAATTAGAGCAGAACCGTGATCGGCTCATTTACAAATACCCATGATAAGCATTACCGCACAGGTCTCAGAACACGTCAGGTCTGTAAGTGATTATGACTGTTACAAAGGTGTCAGTCTCAGAGTGTAGAATGATTTTTTTTTTTTGTGTGTGTGTGGATGGTCAAACTTGTGATTGTATTACTGTGATATGGAAGAGTTCAGTCTTTCATTAAGCACTGGAACAAAAGGGACATACCAGACACATAAAAACTGGAGCTAGAGTCAAGGCCCAGACCAAAACTATATTCCCTGCAGCCCAGATACTCTACATACCAGAACTAGACCTCCTGCACCTCAGGTCCAAACCAAGACTGACCCTGACAAAAAAGTAAAAGTTTAAGTAGTTGATTCAAGGACCAGGCTGTTGATTTCAGTGAACTTAATGGCTAAAATGTCTATGTTGCCTTTCAGAGTTCTTGTACATTCTCTGAAATGGTTGAGGTAATTATCACTTGTGGTACAGACTGCAGTTCAATGTGTCGTCACGAGCCACAGGGTTTAATTTGGATTTGTCTGTTTATATTTTTTTTTACTCTCATAGATTTTGTTACCATTGCCATGCATTATAAGACTGATAGACTGCAACGGTTGGACTTAAAAATCATCATATGTGTTCTACTGAAGAAACAAAGTCACCTACATCTTGGATGCCCTGGGGGTAAGCAGATAAACATCAAATTTTCATTTTTGGATGAACTATCCCTTTAATGAGACCATAAACCGAGCTGTAGATGCAGACCAAGGTCTATCAAACTATAAGTTTAGTTTGAAACAGTATGGTTTACACTGAAAAATTGGTCATATGAAAGCTGTCTTGCGGATTGGGGAGCACCATCTGGTACAGAACCCCCGAAACAATCTATAGGAGGTGGTCTGAGTTTGGTTGCAAAGGAACTGTAAAACAAAAATACATTGGCTAACGTTATGTACTCTATAATGCTAGCTTGTGATGATTGTTACGTCCCAAGATAAAATAGTCAGATGAATGCTTAATGCACTGGGGTTCGATAAAGTCAAGCAAGTCTAAAACCTAACCAGTGAGGTGTGAGGGGCACCAGGAGCAATTGCAGAAAATGTCCCTAGTGTGAAAGCTTTCCAAGAGTAATGACCATGACCCAAAACCATGTATGTGGTCTCGAGAGGTCTTAAGAACAAGAAACGAAATTCAAGACTCTGGTATATAGCCATAAATTTAGTAAGCTTGAGTGTTATGTTGGCGTTGGCTTTTCTGGAAGAGTTAAGTAATAGTCAGTTGTGTCAAAAAGTTTACTTTTGAAACAGCATATTCAGTTTTCTTGTTGGGCAAGCAGAAATTAGAGGAGCTGAGTAGTGAACGTCTGTGCCATCAGTGGCACCAAACAAAATTGCAAAAACAATGACCATTTTCAAAACTGTTTCCTACACACTCTTCCTATATTCAAAGGATGTCAAATATTGCATTTGTGCAAGACATCTTGCAGAGTTTAGCTCTTACTTGCCCAGGCAAACTTCCCTAGAAGTTGGCTGTAATCCTGAAGACTTTGATTATGTGATTCAGGTTTGTTTAACTGAGATTGTAGCTAAACTAAGCAGGACTGTGACCCTCCAGGAACAGGATTTGACACCACTGCCATATGCCATTGTTCAGCCCAACAGCTGGTCTCACTCCAAACTCATAGAATTGGTTGAACCAGAAGTTGTCAAGGAATTCAAACAAACAGAAATGCTTTACAGTATTTAGACTGGTGGTCGACCGATATATCGCCATGGCCTGCGTAATATCATTGCGCCTGCTGCACCCATGGTACGGTGGAATGAAAGTATAGTTCCTAGCCATATCGGCCTAGAAAATCGCAACTTTTCATTTTCCGTCGGTCTTAGTACACGATGTAACTACAGAAGAGTAAAGTTTTAAATAGGAAAAATATAGAAACTCTATATTTAACTTAATATATAATATATAACTTTGGTCATTTTTGAGCGAGATGCTAACGGTCTAATCAGATTCAATGATCTATGCTAAGCTGCAGCTAAAAGTGCTACTACCAGACCCGGAGATCGGCTGAATGGATTCGAAAACTGTAAAACTGAACTGTTTAACTCTAGGGGAGTTGGAAAATGAGCCTATTTTCAAAAATAGTGGAGTGTTCCTTTAAGTGCCGGCGATGCAGTGTTGCCAGATATTGCTATTAAAACAAACAAAAAATGAAAAACAAATAAATAAACCAAAATTATTTCAAATCTTTTGCAAATAAGATAAGATAAAGATATCGCTGACCCTAAACCGAAGCGTCCTACTTTATTATCTTTCTAAAGTGTTAAATTAAGCGGAAAAAAACAACTCCACAAACTCTTATAATAGCTGGATCTGGCAACACGGATGCTGTGCCCACGCACTCACTCACAACTCGTTCACTCCGGCAGCGCCTCGCAGCGTTCATTTTCATACCACGGACGCTAAAAATTCTTGCTAACTGTATTATACATGTCATGCAGACATTCATATGAGGAGTTTAACAGCAAATTAGTAATTCAGAGAACAAATAAAATTTTTGAACATGAAAAATTTACTGTGGTCTGGACCTCGGTGACCTCATAGCTGGCTACGGGCCTGTATCAAACGATATATCAGACAAAGCAATAGTGACCACATAATAAAAACGTTTGCCTCTCTCGCTATTTACACTATGTGCAAATCGGTGGACGGGGCTAAACAGGCAGTGATGTAGAAGCAGGCGTTGATCTTCTGCAGATCTTCTTCTGACGTAATAGTGTTCATCCACATTATTACGTCATAAAGTGGCACATTCCACAACCTGTCGTTTTGGCAGATTTGCTTCAATATAAGCTGTTTTTAGACTAACAAGAAAGTTTTGAGTTCTGAAACTTACAAGATGTTTTTTATAGTACAATGACCTCCTATATGTCAAAAGATCAAGGGAAATTTGATTTCTCAGTTAATGACCCCTTTAACTAATGTACAGAACATTTCACAGACAAAACGCTGCAACCAAAGCTTAATATGTTCTTAAAGGGTTAGTTCACCCAAAAATTTAAATTAGCCCATAAATTACTTGGTGTATATGACTTTCTTCATCTTCATATTCAGTTATATAAAAAATTGTCTTTGATCTTTCAAGCTGTTTAATGGCAGTCAGCGGGTGTTGCAGTGCATCAGTCCAAAATAAGTGAAATAAAAAGCGCCCATCAATAATAAAAAGTGTCTCACACGGCTCCGGGGGGTGAACAAAGGCTTCCTGTAATGAATCGATGCGTTTTTGTAAGAAAAATAACCATATTTAAAACTTAATAATCAATTTAATCTAGCTTGCACTCACTGTTGTAAACGGAAGCAGTTCCGGGCGGATGACGTAGGATGTTGGCGTTGCGCATGCGCCGCTCCCAAGTGACGAACGCAGAAGCGCAGGGGAGAGATCAAAACAAAACAATGATCACGAATTAGAAGTACAAAACGAGGATTTGTAAAGAAGAATGTCGGAGGATTTCGATATAAGCCAAGAGGAGACTGGTTTTCCTTTGCTAAAGTAAGGAAACTTTGCTTCCTTTGCTCCTGTTAACAAACGTTGGTTTTCACGAGACGGCACATGCGCAATGCTGAACTCATACGTCATCCGCCCGGAACTGCTTCCGTGTACAACTGTTGGCGCAAGCTACATTAAAATGATTATTACATTTTGAATATGGATATTTTTCTTGCAAAAACGCATCGATTCGCTACAGGAGGCCTTTGTTTTTTATGGATGGGCGCTTTTTATTTCACTTCTTTTGGACTGAAGCACTGCAACACCCACTGACTGCCATTAAACAGCTTGAAAGATAAAAGACAATTTTTAATATAACTCCGACTGGAAAGTCATATACACCTAGGATGCCTTGAGGGTGAGTAATTTATGGGCTAATTTTCATTTTTGGAAAATTAGTTCAATATTAATTTAACTAATTTTTGTTGACTAACCCTTTAAGGATATCTTCACACTAACTGCATTAAAACTTTTGAGTATGTTTCAGATATTTAATGTGATGACTTGTGAACAAGACTTTTTAATTCACGCCTTTGCTCTTTCTTCACAGGTTCTGGGTCGCGAGGTGTACACCTCCAATAACCAGCTGGGTGGAGTACAGATCATGCACAATAATGGAGTCACACACACCACTGTGTGCGATGATTTTGAGGGAGTGTTTACGTTACTGCTCTGGCTGTCTTACATGCCGAAGGTATGCAGAACACACTGTGAAATGTGACCCGGAGAATGTGATTTCGAGTCTAACAGTGCTGTTCTCCTTCAGAATAAGTCAAGTCCTGTGCCAATACTCAGTGCTAAAGATCCCATCGATCGGCCAGTGGAGTTTGTTCCTACAAAGGCACCTTATGATCCACGCTGGATATTAGCGGGACGTCCCAGTCAGAGTGAGTAGATGCTGCAACCTTAGACATCATTACTCTATTGATAGCATCTGTCGCATGATTTTTATCGTGGACCCTCTTATTCGACTTCCTTTGTAAGTGCCTTTCTGTAGTAATAATTCTTGCTGTAATAACAAAAAACAAACAGAAAAAAAAATTTCTGTATCAATGACATTATGCTGTCAAAAGAGCTCAACTTGTCAATTTGTTGAGGCCTCCTGCAGTGATATTTTGTGTTTTGTTTATCAATTGTGCTGAGGAATGTGTTGTTAGATGTAAGTGTCCAGTAATGGATGAGTGTGGTCTGAGGGTTTATGTTTGAGGCACAGCACTAGGTCTCTCCACTCAGAGATAAGACACTCTGGGATATATGGAGTGTTTTTTATTGGCGAGACAGTTTACGCATCACTGTAATTGCCACAGTGAGGTGGAGAGATATCGAGAGCTGGTGGCAGGGAGAAAAATCTTTGTCTCAGTGCAGAGACAGGTCTCAGTGTAATTGAATGGTAACCTCTTCCTGCAGCAAGCATGTATTTCTCCTCAGTTAAGCTTGGCATATCTCTGATGAAGATGCAGCTCTGATGGTCTCTCTCCTTCCATACAGACACTAAGGGTGCGTGGGTGAGCGGGTTCTTTGACCACGGCTCTTTTCTGGAGATCATGCAGCCGTGGGCACAGAGTGTAATCGTAGGACGGGCCAGGTAAGCACCAATGAATACTTTGGCCCCAAAAAGTATTTGGACTCTTAGGCAAGTTCTAAAACTTCATGAATGTCATTGTAGATGCCACTTGGTCTGATGTCTTGTTATCTAAAACAAACAAATTATGCTGCTGTAGAGCTCTCAGAACTAACCATTTTTAAAAGAGGTTTTCTAGAGAAGTATGCATGTTATCTTTTTTTAATTGCACATCCAATGGCATATATTCGCAAATACTTATTTTTCTAATGATTAACCACACAATCTGAGCCTTTACTCTCCTCAGTGAACTTGTGGTGACCTCTGACCTCAATTCCTAAAGGGCAGCGTTTGTCAATTGGAAAGGTCCTGCTCTGATAAATGCACTTTGAATGCTCCTGTGGGGAACATTAGTTTCACATCGGTCTTCTACTCAATACCCTTTTAGTTGTCTGCCAAAATACAGATTGACAATGAATGTGTCAGTTTCATTTACCTTTTAGAGTATTTGTCTGCATGATAAAGCCTAATTTTGCTATTTATTTTAATTTGCTCTATTTTTTACATTTTAATTTTTCACATTCAAACAATAAAATAATAATAAAAAAGACCCTCCCCCACCCCCAAGTGTGACAAGTATTAAAACAGTAAAGACAAAATTGCTCTGTTTGCTGTGGAGTCAAGAAATCTGTAAATATGTTTAAAAGATGAATATGGGACAAAACTACAAATTGTCACATTTTATTATTGAGTGTTTCAACACATACATGTTTTACTAACTAAGAAGATCAACACTTTTAGAGTTTCATCCCCCTATCTGATGTGAGCATAAGTATTGGTACAATTGCCTCACAGGTCTTTCTGAGTGATCAGCTTTGTCCTGTTGCATTAATTGTTCAGATATTAAAAGCAGGGAATGTGTCTCATCAGTTATATCCATTGCTTCTGCATTCTGAATTTTGCATTCGATGACGACACACACAAACCAGGATGAAGACGAGGGAGCTGAATTCGAGAGAATAGCAAGCAATTTGGATGCTAAAAGAAAAGAGGAACTCAATTAGAGCTATAGCAAAAACAAAGGGCATGAAGAAATCAAGAGGTTGGAGACCACCGGAGACATCAGCAGCCAACAACGACCTGATCAGCTGAGAAAAACAACAGCAGTTTATGACAGACAAATCATAAAAGCTGTGAAAATGAACCCTAAAATACATGTCTGTAAAATCACCAACAACCTCCAGAAAGCTGGGGTGATGGTCTCACAATCTACTGTCCACAGGAGACTTTGACACAAAATTGCAGAGGCTACAGCAAGATGCAAACCTCTGACAAGTACCAAAAATAGAAAGGCAAGATTCAAGTTTGCAAAAAAGCACAAAGGTGAGCCAGTAGAGTTTTATGGACAGATGAGAAAAAGATTAACCTTTATCTAAGTGATGGGAAAGCAAAAGTGTGGAGAAAAAGGGAACTGCAAATGATCCTAAGGCATACAGCCTCAGCTGTAAAGCATGGTGGAGGTGGTGTCATGGCATGGGCAAGCATGGTTGTCTCTGGAACAGGCCCTCTCAGCAGCAGAATGAATGCAGAAGTGTACAGAAACATCTTGGCTACCAATGTTCAAGGAAATGCCACCAGATTCATTGGGAAGCGCTTCATATTGCATTAGGACAATGACCCAAAACACCCTGCCAGTTCAGTCTAGGAGTTTATCAGGGCAAAGAAATGGAAAGTCTTAGATTGCCCAAGTCCATCTGCAGATTTAAACCTGATTGAACATAAATTTCACCACCTGAAGAGAAGACTAAAGGCAGAAACTCCCTAAAACAAGCAACAGTTGGAAATGGCTGCATTACAGGTTTGGAAAAGCATTTCAAAAGATAAGACCAAGAGTCTGGTGATGTCTATGGGTTGCAGACTTAGATTAAACATGTTTAAGAATGCTGTGATAATTTTTCTTATATCCCTTAACCCAGTTCCAGCTGTACAGCTGTAAATATCATAACTGAGTCAGTATGATGACACCTTTTAGAAAATTTGAAATATCCCTTTAACTCAATAATAAAATGTGTAACATTAATTTATTCATTTTCTTTTATTTATTTTTTTTGAGCGTTTGTTTAATCTGTCCCTGTGTAACAAACATTCTGACTTGTCATTTGTAGGTTGGGTGGGATCCCGACTGGAGTAGTTGCAGTAGAAACCCGATCAGTGGAGCTGTCTATCCCAGCAGACCCAGCGAATTTGGACTCAGAAGCCAAGGTGACCACTTGGAAACACTTACACGCTCTGCCACTTGATTTCTTGCAGGAAGATGACCAGTTTTCTGTACTTTTTCTGATAGATCATCCAACAAGCAGGGCAAGTGTGGTTCCCTGACTCTGCTTTTAAGACAGCACAGGCCATTAAAGACTTCAACAGGGAGGGGCTTCCACTCATGGTGTTTGCCAACTGGAGAGGCTTCTCTGGAGGGATGAAAGGTCATGAAAGGAAATGAAGTAGGATGCGCTTTAGTGAGCTATGATGATCTCTGCTAACACCTTATGCTCTCCTGTCTTCAGACATGTATGACCAGGTGCTGAAGTTTGGAGCGTATATAGTGGACGGGCTGAGAGAATACAGACAGCCAGTGCTGGTGTACATCCCTCCACAAGCAGAGCTCAGGGGAGGATCATGGGTCGTCATAGACCCCACCATCAACCCTCGCCACATGGAGATGTATGCAGATAAGGACAGCCGGTAAGAACCAGTTTTGTTTTTTAATTTTTTCGCTTTGGTTTGGGTTGTTTGGTTTTGTTTGGCTTTTGTTTTTGTTTGTTTTGTTTGTCATTGTGCATTGCATCTTGTTTTGTAATGTTATGTAAATGTAACTGTGTATTAACACTGCATTGGTTGTGTTTATTTTTGGTATGTTTGTTTTGTTTGGTAGTTTTTGGTTTTGATGGTTTTGGTGTTATTTGGTTTGGTTTTTTGTTTGGTTTTGTTGTTTGGTTGTGCTTTGTTTTGTATATTTTGTTTGTTTTATTTGTTTTGTTATTGTATTGTTTATCATTGTGCATTTTTTATTTTACGTAACAGTGTATTAACACTACATTAAAACAGAAAATAAATGAATAAAACACCAAAAAAAAAATTTAAATAAATAAAAAAAATGAAGTGGTCAGACCTTTCAAGCAAGCCATTTTGAGTAATGATGGAAGAAAATCGTTGAATTTGTTTCAAACAAATTGATTGTAATAACCTACTTGAATAAATTGATTGATCAGTGTGTGCGTTCTGCAGTGGTGGCGTGCTGGAGCCTGAAGGCACGGTGGAGATCAAGTTCCGTAAAAAAGACCTGGTGAAGACCATGAGACGGGTAGACCCTGTATACATGGGGCTTGCAGAAAGACTGGGTAAGTTTCTCACAATGCTGTCTCTCCCTTGAAATCTTGTTTTATTGGGCGTGTATAAGTGTTATACAGGTGCATCTCAATAAATTAGAATGTCGTGGAAAAGTTCATTTATTTCAGTAATTCAACTCAAATTGTGAAACTCGTGTATTAAATAAATTCAATGCACACATAGAGAATCTATGGTGTATTGTCAAGAGGAAAATGAGAAACAAGAGACCAACAAATGCAGATGAGCTGAAGGCCACTGTCAAAGAAACCTGGCTTCCATACCACCTCAGCAGTGCCACAAACTGATCACCTCCATGCCATGCCGAATTGAGGCAGTAATTAAAGCAAAAGGAGCCCCTACCAAGTATTGAGTACATGTACAGTAAATGAACATACTTTCCAGAAGGCCAACAATTCACTAAAAATGTTTTTTTTATTGGTCTTATGAAGTATTCTAATTTGTTGCGATAGTGAATTGGTGGGTTTTTGTTAAATGTGAGCCAAAATCATCACAATTAAAAGAACCAAAGACTTAAACTACTTCAGTCTGTGTGCACTGAATTTATTTAATACACGAGTTTCACAATTTGAGTTGAATTACTGAAATAAATGAACTTTTCCATGACATTCTAATTTATTGAGATGCACCTGTATTAAAGCACCTCATCTCTGCGCTCTGCTGATTGTGTCGACCCTTTCTCTCCTCCCTGAGGAGACGTGTCAATCACAGGGGTCTTAGATCAATCAGACGCCATTGTTGTTCTGTACCTCCTTCGATCGATTACACCCTCAGCAGTCACTAAAATGGACCGTGCCACCAGAGTGGCCTGTAGTGTTGCAGGCGGCCACGCTGAATGATTGGCTCTGATGGGATCAATCTCTTTCGAACAGCCACGGGCTGATGTGAGATCCTGGAGAGCTCCTTGGTTGGCAGCACTCTAGTGGTGTGATTCTAGCTGATTTTCATGTACAGAATGAGGGACCAACACATGGATGCCAAAATAGCAGAATTGTGTTCATTAGCTTTAGCCAGCATGAAATCAAAATTGACTCTTTTTTTTTTTTTTTATGCACGTTTCTTTTACACTGTTTACCAGTAGGTGTTATTCTAAATTGTTCATCAAAATGAAATAACATGCTTCCCAGTGTTGTTATAGTGTTGTTTATACATTATTATAGTATGTTTATATTTTGAATAGCTTTTTTTATATATATACTTTTTCGTTTTAATTAAGTTTAAGTATTTTTGTAATTATTATTAAATGCAGGACAACATTTAATTTTCATTCAAATGTAAGTTTATAAACATTTTATCTAATATTTATATTTTATTTTATTTCAGTTAATTAAAATAATATTAATAGTTTTATTTTTAGTTAATAACTGCACTGTTTGCTTTACTTTTCTTTTTGTTAATGCCACCTCATCCAAAAATATAGCAATTAACATTAAAAAAGCTGTTCAGTTATTGTTTTAGGTAATGCAGCTTTTCTAAAACCTAGTCAAAAACAAATCCATTATAATAATTAATTATTAAATTATTAATATTAATAAAAACAACAACAGCAAGAAATTAATTATTTAACGAAACAGTAATTTAATGCCTGTTAATTTAATGAATTAATCTAAGCCACAGTGAAATGGCTAAATGTCAGCTGATGAATTAGCCTGATTTATATACTGGCCTGTTTCTAAGTTACTTTTTTGGTACATTCCTCATATATTTTTTTATTTTTGCATTTGTCCATGCTCTGTGTTTGTGTGTGTGTTTTCAGGCACCCCAGAATTGAGTGTGTCTGAGCGTGAAGAGCTGGAGAGTAAACTGAAAGAGAGAGAAGAGTTCCTGCTGCCAATATATCATCAAGTAGCCGTGCAGTTTGCCGACCTTCATGACACACCGGGCCGCATGCAGGAGAAAGGAGTCATCACTGTCAGTACTCAACTCTTATAGTAGCATTAGTATGCTCTGCTTTTAACCGCAGTTTTTGTTTTTAGATGGTACTTCTGTATTCATATTTCTCCATAGTTGAAGAATCAGAAGCTCAAATGAAAAGACGTGAATCAGTGAACTATGCCATAAATTAATCTGGACTTGTGTGTGTTCAGGATGTCCTGGAGTGGCAGACATCTCGACTGTTCTTCTATTGGCGCTTGCGGCGGTTACTGCTGGAGGACACGGTTCAGAGGAAGATCCAGTGTGCTAACAGTGAGCTGACAGACGGGCAGGTTCAGGCCATGCTCCGCCGCTGGTTCGTGGAAGCAGAGGGAGCTGTGAAAGTACGTTACCAAAAACTATTGCATAAAAAATCTCTTTTCTCCAGATCACCAATAAAAGTCTTTTACAAATATGACAGTACAAGTGAGTATACATTTGTGTGTGCATATCTTAAATTTTAAAAGTCAAATATCTAGCTAAAACCATGCGTGCACATTTAATAAACCATTTTGGGTTTGAATTGGATGTTGTCTTAAACTTTGACCATTGCCAGTCAATCGCCAAGACCCATTTCTCAAAACTTAAAGGGATAGTTCACCCAAAAATGAAAACGCTGTCATTAATTACTCACCCTCATGTCGTTCCAAACCTCTAAGACCTCTGTTCATCTTCGGAACACAAATTAAGATATTTTTGATGCATTCCGAGAGCTCTCTGACCCTCCCATAGACAGCAATGTAACTAACACGATCAACGTCCAGAAAAATAGCAAGGAGATCGGTAAAATTATCCATGTGACATCAGGGATTCAATCGTAATTTTACAAAACTATTAGAATACTTTTTGTACGCAAAGAAAACTAAATTATGACTTTATTCAACAATTCGTCTCCTCCGCATCACCCTAGCGCCATTTTGGAAAGTATCCACTAAACATAACCAACGTATGCTGTTCTGTGTCAGCCGCACCACACAAATACGTTGGTTTTGTTCAAATCAAAGCGTAAATAAACGTAGAAAACATTTCCGCAGGGCGCAGCTGACACAGAACAGCATACGCTGTTTACGTTCAGTGGATACTCTGCAAAATGGTGCTATGGTGATGCTGCGGAGACGAATTGTTGAATAAAGTCATTATTTTTGTTTTCTTTGTGTACAAAAATGTATTCTCGTAGCTTCGTAAAATTATGGTTGAACCCCTGATGTCACATGGATAATTTTACTGATCTCCTTGCTACGTTTCTGGACGTTGATCGTGTTAATTACATTGCTGTCTATGAGAGGGTCAGAGAGCTCTCAGAATGCATAAAAAATATTTTAATTTGTGTTCCGAAGGTAAACAAAGGTCTTACGGGTTTGGAATGACATGAGGGTAATTAATGACAGAATTTTCATTTTTGGGTGGACTATCCCTTTAAGTCAATTTTTCAAAACTCTTCACACAGTGAGCACAACAGCAGTCTATGTGGGTTAAACTGTGGATAATTTTCCATTGCTTTGGCACAAAATACATTCATTGACTTTTCTCACTCACACACAACCTCCACCAAAACACTGTGCACCTACAGGCAGTTCAAAATTTAACATAGTAAAAAACTAAAGACCCCATTTTGATACATTTCTATAGTAATACCAGATTGGATTAAATACTAAATCAAAAACATGAAATATTATCAAATGTCAATATATCAGTATGTTAGGCATTCAATTTCTTTACCATCTATACAAAAGGAATAATTTTGTACTGTAATTTAAAAGTGGACCATGTAACATAACAAATATAGATATGTATGCATATGTATAATGCTACCTGCTCTTAGTGTTTTAAGTTATTGTTTTAAGAGTGATAAAGTGTAATTAGTGGTTGGCAGTATTTTTTTTTTTTTATGAAAGAATTACTTGATTTGAGAGTAAAATGTACTGCCGTGCCTGTGTCAAGCTGAAAGTTGGTTAGGAGAACTGTATGAAGAGTTTGAAAAAACTGACCTGAGCATTGAGAACCTGTAAAAACCGCAGCAAGCCTTTCTTTTCCTGAAGTGGTGTGTGGACCAGAAAATATATGACATTTAGAAGTGATCACAGTGGATGAACGTTCCCAAGCTCCAACTAGGCCTCAGAAGAGTTGCCACACCAGGTCCTGGAGCAGAGCCAAGCCCCAAAGGCAGGTTCAAGTATCTGTATTAGACGGTGTCTGGACCACTAATACATTACTCTAATCAGAGCGAGCTATCTTAAGCTACAATTAATCTCCACCCTGCCACGTGCAGATAGCAGAGCAACACGCTGTTTCTTAATTAAAAGCAAACGGATTAAAAATGATTAATATGGGGCATTAAATGTTCTTGCCGACTACAAGTGCTTGCGTTTTTTTAGAAGCGCGGAAGCCCATTAACGCCTCCACAAATCTTCACAAGCACAAGTCCAGCTTTGTTTCAGATCAGCCTGATGTTATCTGTCTAAGCCTAAATGAAGAGCCGTTGATTAGGGTTGTGATTTGGTTTTCAAATAGAAACATTGTCAGAAAGTTTGTTTGGCAGGATGTTTCAAACAAGCTCAATGTATTAAACACTTTATGTATTATTCTTTTTGTTTGTGCATGTTTGTTTCTGCACGTGGCTCCTCACAGGCACCTGGAACGATCTTCCCACCCCTATCCGGAATGCTGAATCCCTGACAATTTTCAAGCGACAGCTGAAAATTCATTTCTTTCGAAGCTACTTGACTTAATCATAAAAAAAAAACTTTTTTTTAAATTATATCTCTTTATTTATTCCTTCTCTTTCTAGCTTGTACTTATTTGAACAATGTCTAGAAACTTGGTATTACA